ATCGTTTGCTATTATTCTAAGTAATAGCAAAACAATAAGTAGAAGTCACTTAAAAGAGGCGTTAGTCACTGAAAATTTTTCGTTACCCTTTGCAAAACATTTTTGAGATCATTGAAATTATTGCAAGGTGAAATTATTTCCCATATTGTTTGTGCTAAATCATTATCATGGAAACCGAAATATGAATCGAATATATCATTCATCTTATTAATTACCAATACATTTGGCATTTCCTGTATAAACACACCAAATAAAATTTCAAAAAAATCGACTTAATGAACTTTTAAAATATTTATCCCTTTATTATGGCTTAATAATATAACATATGTGAAAGTATATCATATGATGATAGGTTCAAGAGAACAGGAAAAAACATATCGAACTTTAATAATTGATGCTACCTGTAATAAGATCGTTCCATCAGCTTTAAAACGTATTGTTTCATTTGCACCAAAAGGTGATCTTATACGCTTTGGCATATTATAAGAATTTATAAAGTTAAACCCTGTCCTTTTTGGCTCAACCAAACGCATCGTAAACCTAAAAAAAGAATTTTAATTTCTCTTTCAATACGTTATTGAAATTAGCATATCAGTCGTATCGAATAGAATGGCTAATGATAAAAAATCAAATTACTTCACAAAACAATATGATAGCATTTCGCTTGCGTACTGCTAAATTCTACCAAGATATTACTTTTAGCATGCAGCAAGCATGCAACAGATCATATACAGTGTTTAAGTTCTACTTAAGAAAAAAAATGAAATCAAAAATTTAACTGACGTTGAACCGACAGGTAATGCACGTAAACGCCGAGCAACATCGAAATGCCTTCGTCCAATCATACTTTCACCATTAATTTTTTCTATAAAGTCGCCGACCTGTAAATTCTTATATTTCATCCATTTTTTTATTTTCACTTTTTTGAACATTATTATATTTAGACCTAAAATGGTAGGGAAACTATCAAAGATATACTGATTATAGCATATAACAGTTACAATTTTTGTTTTATTCAAGTCCATTCTGAATTAGTATATTGATTTAGGATAAAATTTAGCACTCATCCATTTCAACCTAACATATTAATTTATTACGATAAACTACAGCCAAATCTCTTACCTCAGATTAATATATTGATGGTAAATATTAATTATTATGATAAGAAAAGCAAACAATAAAAGCTAAGTGATGCAGTATATCAATGGAATGAATACTGAAAATTAATAATAAAATTTTTCCTTTCCTATCATATTTTCTAAATTTCAACCTCAAGTGCTGGCTTTGCTTTTGACATCAAGGTACCAGGAACGATTCGTTTGATAAATGCTTTTCCAGCTCCATTATCCGTTATTGTCAAACCTAATGCTCTAAAAGACGACACTATAAACAAATTGCAGATAATCAAATACTTAGCACATGCCAACTCGTATTGATATTAATTGATTGACAAATATTCAAACTCGAATACTCAAAATTCTTTACCAAATTTTTTTTTTAAAATCTTTTCAAATATCATTGAAGTAAGTAATGACATCATTTTACTTAATATTTTACATTAATTATATTGAAAAGATCGATTTATAAGATTGTTGCCATTTCCACTTCTTAGAAAATCACACACATGACTAATGTTATCTAAAGATACATTTGAAATTGAAAATTATGTTGTAATTATATTTTAAATCGAGCAAAAATAAATTTAGGGAGAGAATAAATGAAGACTGAGAGAAAGAGAGAGAAGCAAGAAAACTATCTCTACACAAAAAACCTCATCAAAATAAAATTTTTAATATTCTAACAGAAATCTTCTTTATTCGTTACTTAATTCTAAAAGAAAATTTAAAATATTTCATTATTATAGATATCATACAATTCAGTTTTGATTAGTTCTACTTCTTTCTTTTGTCCCGCAATATGTGCAAAAATGAAATCATTGATATTAATGTTTGAACAAAGCAAAGCATCCATTGAAATTCGATGCGTATTGACTGTGCAAAATAAAATATCATCCATACTTATTTCATCATAACAATTTGCTATCGCCTAAAAGATATGCATATTTTTCGAAAATACTTTTCATTTCTAATAGTTAGTAAATTTTTTGCATGTTTTTACCAAAAATTGTAACGTTGCGATGCTGCCAAATAAATAAATAATATAAAATGAAAAAACCCGCTACTATTAATAATTTTTATAACAAAATATTGCCACTAACGATAGATATTGATACAATTATCAAATATGCTACTATGTGCACTTAAAATGCTATTAAATTTCAAGTTTTTATGTAAAGGTGAGGTAATGATATCAGATTAGTTGCAATATATTATTACCAACGTATGATATTAGTATTGCATGAAATTGTACGATATTATTAAAATTTGATATATTAATTATAATTTATAAGATTGCATGAATGGTTATAGTACCTGATAAAGTTGAATAATATTATTAAATCCAGCAATGATACCAGTTGGACTACCATGTGCTAATTGCACTTGGAAGGTTAATTTAATGCCACCATTAGTAACGCACGTCTTAACTATATTATCCGATTTCATTTCATTAAACGGTTCAGTGGCACTCCGGTCGTGTTGCTTCTGCTGCTGTTGCAGAGGTTTTTCTTCTGCTGGTCCTAAAACTATGGTTACTACGTATGTAATACGTGATGTCTGTTATGTCATCAGCAAAAATCAGAAATGATACTGATTTTTGGTTCCTGTCAGCAATTCAAATGTATCCTAGGCTAAATTCTTTTCTTCGATTACTTACCACTTAATGATATAGGTCCTGCGTTCTGTTGTCGTTGATGGTTGAGTAATTTGACATTAATACTGTGATTACTGTTAGTGGATATGTTTACCGAATTAGTTGGTGGTCCATTGGTAGTGCTACGCAGACAAGCTTGCTTTTGCGGCAATCGACGACGCCACCGTTTCCCGCGATACATCGGTGACAAACGTTTCCGCGGTCCTGATCGTTCCAATTGTTGTGCATAACGTTGCCACGAACGTGAACGACGACGACCATAAGAAATGTTTATGAGATTTTGACTGAAAAAGTTTTGCCTATTTATTGACCAAGTGGCAAAATGATCAGCTAGTACCATCGAAAAATATGTTCCTTTTCATATCATAAAGTTTACAAACAATTCAGAACTATTTACTGGTAGAATACTACTAGCTTGTTTCGTTCGATCTTAGAGTGCGAACATATATTATATAGTTTCAATCTTAATTCACTTGACTTCTTTACAACAAATACATTTCATTATACACCAAATATGATCAGTTCCACTTTACGATAAATCACTCTTAATCTGATTCTATGGCATGTAAAAAATGCATAATTTCATTAATGATTTTTGCAAATAAAATACTTACTGTGTGTCCTCAGAGCTACCTTCATAACCTGTACCAGAAGTTTGCCTAACGCGACTGATATTACTACTTCCACCACCACCACCACCACCACCACCACCACCACCACCACCGTTACTACGTAAGGGATTCTGTGATGCAACACGACCGCTTCCTTCCATTAATTTCTGTTAGCAGTAACTGAACTATATTTTACACCAATCTTTTATACTAACTTTTCACTATTTGTTTCTTTTTCCATCATTTTTCCATCATTTGAAATTAACTTAATCTGATAATCTTACTGATTCATTAAATAAACCTTCAATCATGGACAAATAGATATAGTGTAACTTAAATCGATGATTCCTTCACGTTTTCGTAAGAAATTAACAAATTCAATCATATCGTAGATTTTTCCATTTTGATCAATTCCTTGTTCGAAATGATATATAATACGGGAAATTTTATCAGTATTTCTTTATTCCTTATACATTCTTCTTTTCTCTCACAAAATTGGCTTTATCTTTAAACTTGTCGGTTAATTTTCAATCGCATAGTTTAATAAATAGTTTTTGGCCTTATTCTTAACAATATCTAATGGATTTCTTGCCGGCTTAAGTTTTGTTGAAATTTGAAGCAATAATAATTAAGCGAGAAAAAATTGCTAACATTAACAATTCCTGAGATGTATAAACAAAAAATCCTTTTAATAAGAAAATTTGCAATTAAAGTTTGAGAATGGTGTAATGGCAAGAAAAATTGCAAAATCTGAAACATCAATAGAGATTGATAAGAGTTATGATAAAACATACAGTAAGAGTTCGAGAAAACCGGCCAAGGACCCTGAAATGGCAATGTTATAGCATGGCCTTTCAGACTGTATAACACAACGGGGAAATTTTTATAGATTTTCATGGACCGCGTTAAATTCTTGGCAAAGCGGTCCGAGATTTCTGCGAGGCTATACGGTGGGTGGGGATGCGAGTAGAAGATTGTTGGGGTAGAGGTAGGATTTTTTTCGGCAACAAATTATTAGGTGCTTGAGGCTTATTTACGTATTAGCAGTAAGAAGATAATGTTATAGCGCAACTCGTGTTGTCACGTCACTGCATTTCACTGTATTGTCGCTTCACTTCACTTCCCGTATTATCCGTTATTGAAAAATTAAAGATACTAATTAACACACTGTTTCATTTCGATTAGATGAGGGGAATTATCCAATTTTTTACATTTCACTATTTGTTGAATATTCGTAATGTTTGTCGTTAAATCATTACACAATTATTTGATTTTTTTAGTTTCTTGTATGCTGCAAATAATTATTGTGTAACATATGCCAAAATATACGGAATATTATGATGGAAAAATGTTCAATTCGTGTTCGATCGATAGATGTACCACTGGTTCGGAATATAATACTCTTACGGGGTTGCGATACATTGCGATATATTGTAAATCGCTTTTTCGGGATATATTTATGCCTCGAGGTTACCCGCAAAGTGTTTCTACAGACTATTTAAACTATCAAATATGGGATACTGTTCAAGCTTTTGCTAGTTCTATGAATTCAGCTTTGGCTACGGAAGCAATATTGCGCGGTATGGGCGTTGGAAATAAGGTGATTATTAGATTATCATTTGGTCATTGTTGTGAAGATATGTAACATAAAAATTTCATTCTGCATAAAACTGCTCTAACGTAAAATACGCTATGCAAAAATCACCTTTTTGAGAAGGAATTTTTGAAAGTATTTTACTCATTGGTATTCTAATTAGAAGCGGAAGCGGTGTATCTGTCTGATCAAAGAATTATTTGGAAATAAGTTATTTATGGACATATTAGAGCTTTACTGAGACAAGGAACGATTATCCATTGGGTCGATAAATTGAAAGGAATATTGTTTCTACTGATTTTTTTAAATTTCGATTGAGTGGTATAAATTTTTAGCAAACATATGAATGAAAACTGATACGGATGATGGAATGTTGATGATGTTAAGTAATGGGCATAGCGAATTGTGAAATCATTGCAGACTGCATCAACGGTAGCAGCAGCAATTGCGTGGTTACTAAAAGATGGCATTGGGATGCTTGCACGAATTTTGTTTGCATGGCTTTATAGTCCGTATTTAGATGCTGATTGTAAGCAATGGCGGTTAATTGCTGATTGTTTCAACGATTTAGCATTTTTCTTGGATTTAATTACGCCAATTTTCCCGGATCTTTTAACGCCTATCATATGTTTATCATCGATGGTACGTGCTGTTGTTGGCGTTGCAGGTGGTGCTACACGCACTACAGTTGTAAATCATCAGGTATATATATATGATCATTTATCTGATTTTGATTCGGAAGCTCAATTCGTTGTCCTACCAAGATAGCAGAATGATGCATTAATTGGTTTCGTGGAAATCCATAATTTAATGGAAGCTTTAAATAAGTCCAAAAAACACTTTGTGAAGAAGATGGTCAGAATTAGTAATCATCAAAATATTTTGAATATAGAAAACGGCTTGATTGTTAATTATAACACAAATAATAAATTCGACTTATGAATGATGTGACTTTATTGTGATTTTTGCAGGCCATATCGGATAATGTAGGAGATGTTGTGGCGAAAGACGGTTCGCAAGAGACAATGATCAATGTTTGCGCCCTTCTCTGTAGCCTGCTATTGCTTCCTATTGTTAGCGAAAATGTCGTTTCTGTTTGGTTGCTATTCTGCCTTTTTACATTCATTCACTTATATGGCAATTATCATGCTGTTAAATCACTGCAATTCAACACTCTGAACCAATCACTGCTTCAAATTACTGTGAAGTATGTTTTTATGAAACGAAAAAAGTCTTGATTCTATGAAGTGTGCTTCGTTTGTTGTATGTTGTGCTAAACGATCATGAAGTGTAATTTTTGGATAGTCAACTGATAGGGTAAGGTACGATTATCAAAAATTTGAGTCTGGATGTTAGGGTTTGGATTGTTTATCTGAAAAGTATTAATTGATTAGCATGCTATGAAGTGTTGTTTTTAATGAGTTATTGCTTTGAGTTCCAAACAGATTTTTTAATTTTTTAAGCTTGTCACATTTTTTCTTCAGGAATTATACAGAAACGGGAAAAACTGGTACTGTCAGTGAAGTGAACAATAAAGAACCGATGCTGTATTGGAGTTCATCACGGCGTTACTATGGATTTCGTTTATCTGGTGTATTAATGTCGAATAAACTTTCATTTATATGTTCAAAATTTACTGTTATCTGTGATTTGAGGAATAATTACGGTTATGTATCAATGAATAGTGTATCCGACACATCTGATCAACTTCGGGCTGCACTCTGCTTGGAGTTAATATTGATCATGAGGGCGTAAGTTTGTTTTACCTTTTTAGCACATTCGTTGCTTTCAGTAAATGTTTTTTGATGGTTATGAAAGAAAGTTCTTGGTACGCTCATTTCTTTTGTACATTTTATGCAATAGGCAAATAATGTGGTAGCCTATTTCGAAAAAAAAAACACTGTTGAGCGAACGCTTTTCACCCCTGCTATCATTGAAATACCTTTTTTCCATTATCATAGTTTTGATAGAAGCTTTTTCACTTTTCATAACCCCCATGATTTTTCGTCCTTTTGTAAAGAAATCATTTCAATGCTTTTTATACAAATCGATTCCAGGCTTCCCTCATTAACAGAACTTAACGAATTTATTGAGGAACTAAAGATAGGAGGTTGGCTGATTAACAAGCATCGACTTGTATTCGACCGCTGGACCTACTCTGAGAAGTAATTCAATTTGATGATGTTGTGTGATTTGTACCCCAGTTTTATTCTCTTTGTTATGTGTATGCCTTGAGGAATCCTGATTCAAATTCAATAAATTAAAAGACGCACGGTTCCTCGTCATTTATGCTCTAATGGATTTTGATTCAGAGCAGCCTTCTAGCTCCTTAGTCCGGGTAAAAACTTTTAGTTAGCTAGTAGAAAAATGCAGGGAATGTCTCATCGCTGGTATGATCCGCACACAAATAATTTGCTGCTAGTATATCATCATCTGACCAGCTAGTTTATGAAAAATCTACTTCCGAAATTTCTTTCTCTTGCCTCAACCATAAAGAAGTATCTTAATAAATTTTTTAGGTTTATCAAGATACATCTTCATGGTTGATGAAGATGAGGAAAAAATTGCGAAGGAAAAATTATTGTTAAATCAAAATCCATACGATAATTTCAATCTTCTAGATAAACTTCGTATAGCTGCCTATCCGTTGTCTCTGATTTTGATTTTAAAACGGACTATGTAGAAAAAGGCGCAGTGATAATTTGTGAGAATCGGTAAAACAATTTCGGACGTTGAAACTTCCCTAGTTGAAAACTCGAACAATTTATAGATTACAGGCATTAGCTAATATTTACTATTCGACACCCATGCAATATTTTTAAAATATCGATTATTGGAATAACCAAAGATTTATTGATATTAAAGCATTAGCTATATAAGTTGACTTAAAATCAGGAGAAAACTCAACATGATAAAAGCAAATATCACAAAACTTATTATTAATAATACAAGATAAATCAGTAAAAAAATATGGGGGCGTCCGTAAGGATCCGCCTACCTGTTTTGGTCTTATTTTTTGTTAGATGGTTCCATTATTATAAGCTTTCCTTGTACCCGTAATTCATGTTATAAGAGGGGAAATTTTAGAAATGGCTAAATCCATTTAAGCCTTAATAAAGTTTAGTCAAAACATTAATTAATATTAACAATATGAAATATTGACGATATTTGATATCTGGGAATGGAGAATTTTTTTAGACGAAGATGATCACATTTTTTTATATACCGTCAATTGCTAAGAGATATAAAAGTCAAAGTGCAGAAGGCTGGTGGAAGTATTGCAGTCAATTATTAGAAAAAATGATTTAAACTAACTGTAATTTCCATAAAAGGAGTAATTTCATTCATATTGTTGATATGAATAGTTTTTGCATTTCCCAGCCTATCCGGCTTTCTTCTCAGATTTATCAAATAATCTACGAGAAACAACTGATTTCAATTATATTAATTAAAACAATTTATAAAATATTAAAGCCATTTTTGTTTGCCAAAGAAATTTGCGATCTTCATTTTTCTTGCGAAAATTCAGAACATCCATTTGTGTAGCTTTTGTCATTATCATTCTTTCGTTTTCTAAATACAAAAAAGAAAGAATAAAAGATTACTTCATCTTTTTAGAAGGCAGTGATAATGCGAAATATTAAAAGTCTCCTTTTTCTCTTAATTTTTTCGTCTAAAATGTTCATATCGTTGAATAAAGAATAAAAAAAGAAATTTTCTAAAAAAATGGAAATGAAAAATTTAGAAATAAGCTACTTTGGTAGGATCGAATTGCTTCAAATTGGTAATTTCATTTGAGGGAGACTGTTGCTGTTGATGTTTCGATGATTCAAATTTTGTCGTAACTTCAACATTTGCATCATTTTCCTCCACCATAGTACTTTGCTCTTCCGATATACGAGCCTGATACCTGAAATACAAAATGTCATTTTCATATTCATCACATTTTTACAGCGGCATCAACTGATTTCAAATTTTAATTCTCAGTCTTATTCTCAATCAATAATTTTAATTTGATGATTCACCGGATTTTTCTTATCTTTTGATAAACTAACTTTTTTTCCAAATTAAAAAAGCCATCTTAATATCTCAAAAAAAATCAAAAAATTTGAAATTATAATTCCTTCTTTGATATTATCAGAAAATGAGCAAATATGATCGATAAGAGGTACCATGAACGATTTAATTCAAGTTGATCAAGTATATACTGGGCGTGCGGATTTACCAAATCTGCCCATGTTTCAAATAATGGATGTACGATAAAATCGATGAAACCAACCTGAATATATTAATTTTATTTTTAATTTATTAAATAGGACTGCATTGATATAATTATTATTGTTATTAGCCAAGCGATATTTATTTCTGTAACTATTATCTTCGGAACTTATATATTATTTTTTCTCAATGAATTAAATATTTCCAGACAATTCTCTTCATTCTTACTGTTATTTAATTTTGATGATCAAAAGTAATCGAGAATTACTGAAATAATTTGAGTAGTGCAACGTATTCTCCTGATGTTGATATGTGATAGCATATCAACAGTGTTATGATGAACTTCATGTTACAATAATAAAATAACTATTAAATAATTCAATTAGTTTTCAACAAATTTCGATCCTACAATAATTAATATATTTACCTGAGATTTCGCAATCGTGATATTATTTCGATCACACATCGGTGAGATATCAATGCCCAAGTCTCGTTCCCTATCGCCTTGCCTCCAGTATTCTTCCATTATATTATCTACCCAAATACGATACAAGTCGATCGGTTTCGTTGGATTTGATAAATCTGCCAGATGAATCATTGTTTGCATTACCTTAAATAAAAGTGAGATAATCTGATCATAATATTCATATGTATATCATTATCAATTACAGATTAAATTATAAGGAAAATTTCCTTTTCTCACAAGAAGTTAGTAATTTAATGGAAAAACCTGCATGCGATCCGTCTTATCCAATGTTAAAACTGATGAACCTGCGACTTTTTTTGCTTCAACCATAGTTTTTAGGTCAGCTAATATACTCATGTGCTTTGACATATCTGTTGCCAACACCTGATAATTAGATAAAATTATTAGTTGTAATGACTAAAAAAATAAATTATTGATTGCAGTCGGAATAATTTTAAACTAATAATTTTCATCATATTTTCATACTTAAACCTTTTTGCTCGATAATTTCCAAATCCAATATTTCGTTAATTCGAGAACAGAAGAAAAATCTCATGCAATTTGTTTATAGAGCAAATGATATTAGCAATTAGTAAATGCAAAATAATGAAATGAAGGAAAATCTTAGAAATTTGCATTTCTTAGCTGATACATTTTTCCAAACAAAAAAAAAATTAAAGTATATCATTAATTCATTAACATCCTACAAGCATTATTATACATGATAATCAATGCTAAGAGATTTTGCATTATGGAAATACCGTCAATGCTTACTTCCTCAACTTTTAACTATCATTCATTCATAAAATATAAAATATTTCAAAAATTAATTGCAAATAAAATCTAACCAAAATGAATTTCATTCATTTGTTTCTCTTTTGTTTATTCAATAAATTAGTTTATTTTTCAGTTTAAAAATAAGCTCATTTTTCCCTACTAAACAAATTTTATCAAACAAAATTATTAATTTATATTATGCGTAAAAGAAGTTCGTATTAATTATATTTTTACAACAACAAAAAAACGACTAAAATATGAATAAAATTTTGAAATGTATAAATTCATTCAATATCCAACAATTATAATTTAATCAATAGAAATCAATGAAATATGCGATACGATTGTTTTATCTTTTCATATAAAAATAATAAAATTATATTGCACACAATAAAATGAATATTATAATTTTGTTTAAACGCAAAAATAAATGAAATGTAAAAATATAAGAATAGAATGTAAGTTGAAAATGTAATTGTATATTAGAAGAATTTAAATTAATAAGAAAAGAAAGAACAAACCATTTCAATGGTTAGTTTACGAAATAGTTGACGTTGTTTTTTACTAAGTGAAACGATGAAATCACAACTGGAATCTTGCAATAATTTGAATGCAACCGCTAAATGATGCTGTTCTAAGACGGATTCATCGTTATACATTATAGCCAATTCCGAATCTATATAAGAATTAATTTGATATTTAACAATTAAGAAAATAAAGTTAATATAGAAATAAAAATGCGAAACATTCGTTTTTAGGCATTTTCTGAGAGAAAAGAAAACAATGAAAAAGATGGAGAATATGAACTAAATTTTAATTCAAAAATGATTAATACAATAATGAGTAGAAATAAAATTTTATATATATATATTAATGATAGAAGAAAAAGTTTTCGTTTTTTTAAATTTTCCTAAATTTGATTTTAATATGAAAGAAACAAAAAATTTACTAGTATTAATGAGGTAATGATTGGTAAAACCGGGATGATCAACATCATGTATGGCACCCGCAAATATCGATGCTAATACTTCCAGTTCTGAGAATACATTCTGAAATTTAACAAAAGAATTGAAGGAAAAAAATTCTTTTCTTTTTTCAATATATCACTAGTTAAAATTTATATTAGAAAAAGAACAAGAAATTTCTGAATTTCAATCATCATTTCCTGTGGAATTTCTCTGAAAAAGGAAAACCGATGATTGATGATAGAGATAAGTAAAATGATAGAGATAAATAAAATGATATAGAGATAAATAAAGTGATAAGGATAAATAAAATGGCAGAGATAAATGAAATGATAGAGATAAATAAAATGATGGAGATAAATAAAATGATATAGATGATAAGGATAAATAAAATGATAGGGATAAATAAAATGATAAAGATGAATAAAAATATATCAATTATACTTCCTTTTTTTAAAAAAAAAATGAATGTAGTCTAGAAGAGTGATAAGGGAAAAATAATCGGATTACAATTAATAGTAATAGCAATAATAATGGAATGATAATAATAATAATAATAAATAAATAATAGATGAATTAATAACAATAATAATGATAAAAAGGATAATGATAATAGTAATAATAATAGCAATAAAAATAATAATGAAAAACCTGTAGAACTGGTGATGAGATAAGAACGTTAACAGATTGAGTAACATCAGCAGCATGAACTTGATTATGATAAGGAATATCCCTGTAGTGGTGCTCCAAATGAAGCAAATAATTCAACAAAATACCCGATGGAATTTCAAATGTTTTCAATAAACCACGCTTCTAAAATATACAAATTTTAGTAATATAACAAATATAAATATCATAAATCTTTACTAATATATTTTAATTTTAAAATAGAAAAATCGCAATGTTAATATAATTGATACAAAATAGTTAGCTATCAATTATAATAGAAATTGATATAAATAATATTTCCAAAGAAGAAAAAAATTAGTACTAATTTATTTCAGCATTAGTTATTAATTGAATAAAACTACAATAAAGGATTTAGCTAATGAATTTTGTAGGATTAATCGCAATTCATTTTCAATCGCGCAATTCATTTTCAATCCTTCTTTTATCATTACGGTGATGCATACATTTTTTATAAAGGGTTCATATTCTCATTCGAGATACCGGATGTTAACAGGAAATTGCATGCCAAATTATTTTGACATTTTCATCTGAATTCATTTATCTTTCAAATTTTAAACTTTCGCTATGATGATCGATTTAACTTCGGAATGCTAAAATGAAATTGAATTGTAGAAAAAATTTCTTCCTTTTTTCGCCATTAATGAAACAATAAAAACTATCATTTTTGACATCCATTAAAACAATGAAAAAATAAAGCACTCAAATTGAGTTTTTCAATCTTTGCTTCATTTCCGAATTGCTTCCTGCTGTTTAAAATTTTCTCTTTCTTTAATTCATAAAATTACCACACAAAAAATACCACTCAATTTGAATGGATAATGATATAAGAGAGAATTTATTTATTAGGTTGTACATAAAGTGTAATAGTATTTTCGTAATTTTAAAATACTTTATCTTCAAAATCAACTTCATCTTAAGACATTCGCAATTGTTGCTGATAACATGCATTTTTGTAGAAGCAAGCAAAAATTCGAATCATATTGCAAAAATGCAGCAATTTATTGGTTGTAAGAAAAGAAAGAAGAGAGTATATATATATAAAAAAGTGTATAATTTTAAATTGTCAAAAAAATTATTTAAAAAAAAAAAGAGTAAATAATTGAAAATGAATCATTTATCCTTTGAATGAATCATCATTATTTATAGTTTTAATTTATTTATTTTAATTAATTCATCTAGAAATTGCAAATCATTTGAGATGTAAAAAAAAAATATTCATAAGATAAATTTGAAATGGAAAAGAAAATTTGAATAAATTTTCGAGAAAATTTAAAAACAAAAAGGAGTATAAACTAACTTCCATAATACTGAAAGTAATAGAAGTAAGCGAATGTCCTTTGCTCGATTCTTGTATTTTGAATATATTTGGGCCCCATTCATCAAGCTTTAATTAAAAATTTTTAAAACAATAAATTAAAAAGAAAAGAAATTATAACAAAAATAGGTATCAATAAATGTATTTAGTTTTTTTGAAAAAATTTATATAAAAATTAAATTATATAATTCTTTTTCTTTCAAAGTAATAAATTGTTTATTCAAAAAAGTTTCCAATTTAAAATTTATTTATTTTTAAAAGTGAAAAATTTTTTCCCAAAAATTGTCTGACAATTATGTTTTATTATTTTTTTTCATTCATTAATTATGCAACAGAAAATTTTTTCACTCATTAATTATGCAACAGAAATTCTTATTTCAATTATCATTCTATAATTAATCCTATAATTTCCTTTTTTTTCATTAAATTTTAGTAAATTTTCCTAGATCAGTAAATTTTACTATATAATGAATTTCATTTCAATAACGTGATCGAATTTTTTTTTGGAATAAATTTGAATATTTTAAAATTATAGACGATATATATATTTAGAAATTAACGAACGATATACTTATATATATTTAGTATGAAAATCGAAATAAGATTTTTTTATTTTCACAATTAAATATACCTTTTGCATATAAACTTGTAATTCCTTGTGATCATTTACATCATATTGCAGTATGTGATCATCGAAGGGTGATTTCAACTTACGTATACCGACAATTTGCGATATTGCTGCAGTTTTTGCTTTACCCAATACTGATATCGAAAAATTATCTAAGGAAGAAGTAGATGCAGTATCATCTGGTACCTGAATTTATACAGATATTGAAAAAAAGAATATTATTCCGAAATGTTTAATATTTTAAACAAATAAATAGTAATGTTTTAAATTTCAAAATTTCGAACAATAATTATCAAATTTAATAATTATAAAAATTTTGAATTACATTGATAAATCAAATGAATTGGAATTGGAAATGAATTATGATTTCGTATCATACATAAATAATGCCTCAAATTTGCAATTTCAAAGTTTCAATGGTACTTTTTGTGTCAAATTTTTATAACTTATATAAAAGATGAAAAAAATTCGAATAAATATATCAAATTAGAATGAAAAAAAAATTGACAAATATCTTTTAAAGTTTTCGAAAAAAGAGAAAGTTTAGATAAACATTGAAAGAATATGTAAACTAATCATACTGTATAATTATTACTGATCGATTTTGAACTTATAGAAAAACTAATTAGTAATAGAAATGTTAAATTTTCCCATCTATTAGACTATTATCACTATTTTTGTTTTAATTTAAATATTTTTGAAACAAATTTTTTGTAAATGAAAAATGCATTATTATTACTCTCTTAAATTCAAGTCTAATAAAAATTTAATTAAATTTAAAATTTAGTTTTTTAAAATTAAATAATAATATTTAAACAATTACCGTTATATTTTGTGATACTTCATCATCATCCTTATCCGTGTAAGTATCGATAAGAAATTGCGATATTTGCGTACCCGATTTAGATGATTCGGCGAAATGTATAAGCTCTTTGTTAAGCATTTTACGAAACTAAAATAAAAAAACAAACAATCAAATGTGATAATTTAAACCTCATTAATTTTTCACTATTTTATTTTAATCTTATCAGTTATAGTTTAACTGTAATTAATAAAAAGTATATTAGAGAAAAAAGGGTCGATAAATGAATGAATGAAATAACAGGATAGGTAAGATAAGAAAGTTATTCAATCATACATTTTATCTACAGTTAAAACTGATAAAAAGTACATTAGAGAAAAAAAGGTCGATAAATGAATGAATGGAATAACAGTATAGGTAGGATAAGGAAGTTATTCAATCATACATTTTATTAAAAGCATTTTGAAAAAAATGATCGGTAACATTGAAGAAAAAAGTGGAAGAGAAAAAAAGGAAAAGTATAGGATAGGTGGAACGTAGAAGAAATGTGAGAATGGATAAGAGATGAAGAACATTTTAAGAAAACAACAATTCATTTGTAAATTTTGACGGTTCAAATTGATTGTTGTAAATAATTTATTCATTCATTTATGCTTCAAATGAATGAATAAGTAATTAAGTATTTTATATTATTACACCTATTATAATTAATATATTAAAAAACTTATCAAATATATATCATCAAAGGAATGATACGTTAAGGTAATAAATTAAAATTTACATCATTTATTTATTTGTTTATTTTTTGCTATTTGATAATCAATTAAATCATTAAACCAAAAATGATTGTTTTATAATTTAACAATTCAAATTTAGCTGAATGATATATTTGTGACATAATTTATTATTAAATAGATTTAATTATATTTATCTTTTATTGGAAAGAAAACAAAATGAAATTATTGATAATATAATAGATATGATAGTTGTTATTATTATCATCAAAAAAAAAAAAAATTTCTACAAAAAATATGCGAAATTTACTTAATTAACTAAAATAGTGAATCCATACGAAATAATGTAATTTTTTAAGAAAGATTCAATTCGATGAAGTTTTAATTTAGTAATGGCTTGTAGGAAAAGCACTTAGCCTTAGGCATTAATGAAATTAAACTTAGAAATATATCAAATGTTCATACATTCATTTTGTCTTAAAAATTATTTGGAAAAAAAACCAAAAAAGAATTTCAAAGAGAAAAATGGTGTGAGGAAATGGGTGGAAAATAGCGGTGAAAAACGGATGAAAAATTAATACCGCAAATTATCATTCCCAATTAAGTAAAATGCTAAAATGCCACATACCCAAATGCTTATTATAATTCGATGATAATCTTTTTATCATATCAATATTCATATATATATATATTACTATAGAAAGTACTTTTATTAAAATTGAACATAAAATTTAATAAGATTAATCAACAAATACTAAGACCTGTGTATGTAGGAATAAAAAATTTGATATTGTTAATTAACAAAAATAATTATTCTTTAATATGTAAATTAAATAAAAAACAATTAAGCAGATAAATTAAATAATTTTTAAAAGTTTAAAATACGTAATAAAATGAATATGTATGAACAAACTGTGATGAGAGAGATTTCATTGATTTATAATGCTAAATTACTATTAGTTACTTGTAGCATATATTAATATATATTATTAATTAATTAATAATAATTATCAATCCTATATATAACAAATTAATCACTAAATTTTATTGGTAATCACTTATGTCATTTGTAGAAAAACTCCTTTGGTCGAGATAAATAATTAGTACGATGAAACTGAATTTGTTTTTACTTTTGTTTCTATTTAAATTTTAAAATTTATTAATCATATCCGCTATTATCATAGAAAGAATTCAAATTTAGTAAAAATATGAAATCAAACAATCAATAGTTTAGAAATGATTCGTTCGTCTTTTTGAAATTCTTTAACTTATTATATTATATGTAATAATTTAACAAACAAACAATCATTCATTAACTAATATTTATAAAATTTATGCATTTTATTAATTTTTGAAACTTTTTGGCCAATTATTTAATCCGGATTAATGAAACGAAATCAATTAATTAATGATTAATTTAATTTAATGAATAAAATTAGGTAATAATTGAAACGAATTAACTAAGAAATATTAGATATAATTATTGTGAACGATTTTTGATGATATTTTCGAATATGATGACAATAAAAATGATGATAATTTAAATGATATTATCAAATTTATCAGAGAGATTAAAGTATGACTATCAGATCGTTATAGTCATCCAGTTGTACAATGATTAAAATATAAAATTTATGAATAATAAACTTTATTAAAATTATTTCTTCGTAAAAAAATTTGCACTTTTATCGCTGAAGTTTTATCATACAATTCTTATCAATTTTATATCTGTTTCCTGCCAGTTTAGCATTAATTTCACAATAGTTATTCATTGACAATATTTTTCAAAATATTTATTAATTTATTGCTTTATTATTTATTCGTCATTTATTTACCTATTTATTCATTCATTTATTAGTTTGCTTAATATTCATTTATATATTTACCTGTTTATTTATTTGTTCATTTGCTAATTTGCTCGTCTACTTTTTACTTAATTACTTATTTACCTACCCATTTATTTTTTGCTTACTTATTTCCTTATCATTATTAATTATTATTATTAACTATTAACTTTTATTGATTACTATTATCAATTATTAATTACCGTTATTATTATTAATTATTAATCATTATTATTATTATTAACTATTAGTTAATATTTTAATTACTATTATTACTCATTAATTATTAATTTTATTATGAACTGATGTTATTATTATTAACTGCTAACTATTGTTATTGGTCATTATTACTAATTATAATAATTATAAATTTTTAATTAACATTACTTACTAATTATTATTAATTAACAGTTAATTAATAATAATGAAAGAATTAACTTGTTGGTGAGAAAAGGAAAAATGCAAAAAATTAAGAGTGAAAGGAAAAAGAAGAATTTCACGATATCATTTATATTTTATTCTTAATTATGACTGACACAATTATCATTATCAGACATGATAAAGAAAATTGTATTAGCAGAAAATTGTACATCAATTTTTTCCGATGAAAGAAAAAATAACGTAAAGTGTAATGATAGTTGTTATATTGGGAAATACCAAATGAAGCGTTCATTAATGAAACGTTCTAATTTTTAATTAAACTATAAAAAATTACAAAAATTTCGATTTCAAAATTGCAAATTAATCAAATTAGTCATTTTATTTTTGCATAAAATCTAGCAAAAAAATTGATGCAAAATGAGTAATGACATGAATTTCATCATTACCTTAATTTTTAAAGTTTCCAAAAAGAAATTTAAAAAAAGGGCAATTTTGAACTTTTAACTATATGATAACATATTTATCCATATTTGGTTTGGTTTTTGTATAATCACATAAGTTTTAGAATTTAAGAATGAAAAAATAAATTTAACTTTCCCAATTATGCTTGTAAAATTTTCGCCAATCATTAATTATGATAAAAGTAATTCCTTTTTAATTAAATGAATGATATTGATGCTCGAAAATATTTGCCATATACTTTTTCAAAAATATTTAAATTTTACAAAATGAGCGATTAGAAAAGGACAAAATTTTAAATGAACACTTCATTATGTGAGTAAGAGATTAAGCATAAAATAATATTAATAACTAACTTTATTAGATGCCATATCAGATACAGATCGATGAGTCTGGATTGTTTCCAGTTGATCCAAGCACCAGTCCAATTCATCAAGAGTATCTTGGCCACACTGTATAACATCAGACGGTAATGTTGTACTATGAAGTGGTGGTCGTTTTGGAATTGGTCTTGGACGATTCTCATCCGATGGTATATTTGCAATTAGAATTAGATTATTGCGTACATTTCGTAAACTGGCTAAAATTTGTGCAAATGGCGTAACGATCAACTCTTCGCCATACCTAAAAATGTAATAAAATTAAATCATACTTTTCTTTTCCTCTCAATTTTTAATTGCAATTAATTTGAATTAATTTTAAGTTCTTTTAGTATTTTCTTTTTCATACAGATAAATTCAAAACACAAAGAAATAATCCTGAAATTTTCTTTCATCTTCATAATTCAAAAAAAATTAGAAAATGTAAATCCAACAATCGAAGAATGTGAAGTAGATATTTGTCCGATACAACATTGCTATATATAATACACAGTCGGATTAAAAATTTTGGTAAATTTCAACAATTTTATTCCGTACATAAGAAATTAATTTTAAAGTAAGCTTTTTACAATATTAATAATAATAATTAATAATAACAATATAAATTGTAATAACAATTAATAATAAATAATAAAAATGAACAGTGATAATTAATAATAATAATAATAATAATAATAATAATAATAATTAATGATTGTAATTAATAATAAAAATAATTAATATAATAACAATTAATAATTATAATAGTAATAATGATAATAATAATAACGGTAATAATGATAATGATAATAATAATAATAGTAATAATAAATAATGTATATGAGGCGCTCTGTGCTAAGTAAAATTACTGCATTTGTGTACCATTACGCTTCGATCATTTTTAATTACCGCACTTCTGTTACAACTAATTTTCAATTTTTCATCCCGAATTTTCTCCATATAATTTTCTTTGCTTATTCTAATTTATTCTTTTCTTTTTCTTTCGTTGAACTCTTTTTCGATGATTTAATATCATTTCATGCGTTAATCTTTAATTTAAATATAAAATTAACCGTTCTCATTTTTAAAATTTAAATTCCAAAATTTCAATTAAAGAACTATTTGAAGAAATTTTTTCTAATCGTCGATTTCTGAAATATGTCTAATAAATATAATACGTAACGAGAACCTTGATAATGACTAAGAACTCAGGTTTACATTTTCCGTTTTGTAAAAATATTCGGCAAACTTTACTATTTATGTATTTCTTGAATCAATCGTTAATAGGATCTTCGTATATATCATACTTATATGATTATCTTTTCACTCATATATGAATTGATATATTTTTTAAATTATCATAATCACTAATTAATGCAACGTAAAATTATCATGCAATACGATTTCGATACTTTTTATTAAATTTACATAACAAGGAATTCAGTAGCTTCGATTTGCCCCCCCTACACCCCCCCCCCCCGCCTGAAACTATTCCTTATCAACAAATTATTTTGTTTGTTCATCTTCATACTGCAGTTTTTTTCATTTTTCCCCAGATAATTTCGTTTCATTTCAGTCTATGCCATTTGATAATCCATCATCAATTTTTCTTTCTTTCTTTTACTTTAACCAAAATATATAATTAAGTTAGGCTGTTCTACAACAATACTATTTCTCCTTTCAATAAATATATTGTATGAAATTATTTTTACCTTTCTTTTTATCTTTTTCTTTCTTTTCTCTTTTAATAAAAAAGAAAAAGAAATTAGAATTTAAAGTGAAATTTCTTTAATAGCCTTTTTCTTTCTCATTTCAAAATAATCTATTCGAATGATACAATATTTCATTATGCCTTAGCATAGATATATCATTGATGCTTTTTTTAATGGTTGCAGATGTATGTATCATCATTAATTTTGTTCCAAAAATATTCAACGTTGAAAATGAATTTCTTCGTTCGTTTTATTTAAAGGATGAAATTTGTAAAGGAAAATGAAAAGGTTGATTGAGAAAAAAGAAAATATGGGGAATAAGAAGGAAAGTTACTCCTATATGATTGTAATTTCCTTCCACCGGAAAACAATGAAAAGTTGGCAAATCTGATTATTTAGCATTTCCAATAAGATTTATTTCTCTTGAGAAATCAACGATAATATTAATGCAAATATATGCACACACATACACACCCACACATTCAATACCTATGCAGCATCCATATATATACAATACCTAACATTAACGCACACACAAATACACTCACAATATACCCACACCCACACACAATACCTACACAAGCATTCATATATATCCATACACCCAACATTAGCGCAACGCACATATATCCATATACATTCACAAATCCAATACACATAACACTCACGCATACATCCCTATACATTCATTCACACACCCAACACCTACGCATACATTCTCATGCACGTCTGCACATCCAACACCTACGCACATATCCATGTACATCTATACACCCAACATTTACACACACACACACACACACACACACACACACACATCTATATAAAACACATTCAACACCCACGCATGCACACATTCGTATACATTCACACCCTGAACATCTATGCACACATCTATATAGATCCATACATCGAACATCTACGCACACATCCTTATGAATTCATATACCCATTAACGTATACATCATTAACGTATATATACATACAAGCATGCATACGGCAAAATATGGTTTAATAGTAAGAGTTTGAAATGAAATTTGCTTACAAATATATCATAACATATCATATCATTATACATGGAATGGATAAAAGCAAATTAATTATTTTAAGTCAAATAATAATCTTTTTTTTATTTCATTTTACTTTAATCCATTTGTTAAATGAATTTTAGTTCATCATTTTAGTTAAATGAATTTAATTTTAGTTCAAAATAATAATCGTATAAATTTCTAATTGTATTGCATCGATCATCTCTCATGAAGATATGAGTACTTGAAAACATTTTTTGAATTCTTTATAATTATTATTATTTTATTACAACAATTAAATTAAATTTTTAAAATGAAAGAAGCAAAGAAGAATAGGAAAAGTTTAATGGAATTTAAATTTAGTGAAATTTAAAGAGAGAATGTAAGTATTAGGCTAGAAAAAAAAAGATATAAATCATATCTATTTAATTATTATTTGTTTTTAATTAACTTTTATATTAGATCTTACTTATGTAAGAAATGGTTGTCTGTTTTATTTTTCGCGTTTTGACAGTATTTTAATTTGTAAAAATGTCGAAATTAGTAAATTAAATAGATATGAAATAGTATAGTTATTATGAGATTAATCAATGCTTGTGCTAATTCAATTAATATTTTAAATGAAGTTTTGATAACATATAATTATATATTAAGCCATGGAATAATCCAAAACTTCCTCTCTCTTTCTCTCTCTCTCTCTCTCTCTTTCTAATAGACATTAATAATTTTTTGAATTATTAAAGATTTCATTTAACAAAAAAATAAATTTAATTTAATGAAAAAATAAATTAAATTATAAAATCAATAAATAAATCCAAAATTATATTAAATTATTATATATTCTCTTTCATTTCTCCTTCAAACCAAATCGATCTTTGTTTTTACTTTCATTCCTTTTTTTTGGAACTGATTTCAGGTAAGAAATTGTTATGCTAATATTTTCCGTAATGGATTTATGAAAACTTCATTTAAAACTAAAATATGCAAAAAAGGGAAAAGAATAGGACATATTAATTCAGTTGGCATTAATTTTGTTAATGCATAAAATTTGATTGATAAAATCTTAATGAATAAATTTAAAGAAATGTTAAAACAATTTCATTCCATATATTCTAAAAAAAAAATATTACTGATTGATTAATTAAAGTATTTTAGAAATAAAATATTCTTTCGAAAATGAAATGAAAATAAAACTATTATCTTTCTCATACAAATGTCCTACATATATTCAAGTTTAATTTGATAACGATATGATAAATGTAACGATTATCTTTCTCCTACATATACTCAGATTTTATTTGATAATGATATGATAAATGTAACGATTATCTTTTTCATACATATAATCAGATTTTATTTGATAACGATATGATAAATGTAACAATTATCTTTCTCATACAAATATCCTACATATACTCAGGTTTAATTTGATAACGATATGATAAATGCAATGATTATCTTTCTCATACAAATATCCTACATATACTCAAGTTTAATTTGATAACAACATGATAAATATAACGATAACTGTAAAGTTACCCTATGCATACGATGATCTCATATTATCATTGGATAGAAATGAGATAACGGTTAATTTGGATGATAAGATGATAATGATAATTAAAATTATAATTAATCATAATGATAAAAATATATTTCAGTTTTGTTTGAAATTATCAATAATTTCATTCAATTTTTCATCTTCTCATTTTTATTTAAATGTATACCTTACATTTTCATTTACATATTATTAATTATTATTAAATTAGAAGCATCAAACATTCAATTACTTCGCTACTATTGTATTCAAAAATTTTTTTAATTTCAAAAAAAAAATAACAAACTACTATTATCATTGAAATGCAGTCAATCACACAATATCACATTATCACCGGATTGTATTACCGGATATGGTCAAAATATAATAGAAAATAAAATGGATGAAATGCCATTGTAAAAGTCATTTGGTCTAAATTTGTTTGTTAGTTAGACTGAATACGATAGTTTTAATCTTCAGGCTATCTTCTTAAAATCAATATTTTCTTTCCAATTTTCCAAAAAGAAAGATATTTTGCATTTTTGCAGATTTTGCATAACCATCGAACGTTTAATAATTGATGAAAAAAAAATTAAAATTGAAGTTAGTGGGAAAATCATTTTCGTCAGGTGTTCATATCATAGCTTTAGAAACGTGAGAAACACATATCTCAGCAATACATATCAACAAAAAAGAGTAAATAAATTAAGGCGAAAAAAATTAATGTTAATTAAAAAAAAAAGATTACTTACTGTGGTGCAATAGAGGTGACAGATGAAGTACGTGAAGCGGAATGATTAACTTCACGTTCGTCGACTGATTGTCGATAAAGAAAAGATTCACGCCTGTGTTGACCACTGCTTGGCCCTACCTTCAGATTTCCTGCGTTATTAGCGTCCACAGCAATAGCCGTAGCTGGAGAACTGAAATCGGCCGAATTGAGCTTCAGAAATTGATTGTTGGGGTCACGTTTTTGGATGATAAATGAGGTACGTCTGGTATAAGATTGTTGTGATGCCATTGTTGCTTTATTAGTGATATTATTATTAATATTATTATTGTATCATAATTATTAGTATTATTAGAGTAATTATGATAATATTACTGTTGTTTTATGACTAATATTTTTTATCGTTGTCCTCAACGTCGTCATTATTACCATTTTCTTCTTCTCTTTGTAAATATTAATAATCACTATCATATCAATAAGGTGGAATATAGTAGAATATCAGATAAATTGATAATGTATTATCTTAAATAGGCATTATTACTGTTCATAACAATAAGAATGATAGTAAACAATAATGAATCATCCTGCAAAAGAAATAAATAGTTGTAGTAGAAGGCATAAATAATAAAACAGTGATAGTATTTATAAATGTGTTAGCAGTATCAAATAAAGTAATAGTACAGTAATAACAGTTATTTTTTTATTGTTGTTGCTATTGTTATTGTTATTGTTCTCAGTATTGTTGATTACAATAATAACCATACTAGTAATATTAATAATAACAGTTATTGTTGCAACAATATATCATACATTATCATGCAACAAGAAGAATAGTAATACCTTTTTTCCTTTCCTTTTAATTTAGATTAAATGAATAAAATTTGATAAGACTATCAGTTGGAAGAATATTAGAGATGAAAAAGACGGAAGATTGAAAGATTAATTCGGTAGGAAAAAATAAATAAATATGATAATACCGGAATAATATTTTAATACAGGAATTTTATTCCAAATCGGTTTCCGAATAATCTGTCCCAGTTGATGAATATTTATAAGTTAGACAAATTTTGAAAGGGATTATCAACCGATATAGAGCTTTTCAATAGCTTAGGCTGTATCCCATCCTTCCTCCTCTTCCTCTTCTACCATTCAAGATTCACAATGTCAACTGCTTGATGAATGTTTATGTGTATGTAAGCATGTGTATACGTGTATGTGTGTATGTGTGCATGTGCATGTGTATGTGTGTATGTGTGCGTGTGCATATGTTGTTAGCGTGGAAAACATTTATGGATGATTAAAAATTCAAAAATATTGTTGTTGCAACAACAATAACAAATAAAAAAATTTTTTCAAAATTATAAACAACTATTTCAGTCAATACTTCAAATGCTATGCCTTAAAGGTAATATGCCTAAATATTATGCCTTAAAATTTATTCCTAAATATTTATAATATCCTAAAAAATGGAATCTATACCATACTACCTTAGAAATTATACTGCAAAAAAAGAGATCGGAAAAAATCGAAAAAAGGAGGGACAGAGAGAGAGAGAGAGAGAGAGAGAAGAAGAAAATGAAAGCTAACAAACAAAAGCAATAGAAATAATTCAGTTGGAAAAAACAAAATAATAAATAATCGAAAGAAATGAGAAAGAGAGAGAGGGAGAGAGAGAAGAAAAAAGGAACAAAAGAAATGAACAAAAAAAAAATAGCAAAGAATGGATGAATGCAAAGTTATATGAAATAATGATAAAAAAATGAGAATTATAGATAAAGGAAAATTTGAGAAAACATTGATAATGTATGATTTCGAAAAAAAAATAGAAATAGATAAGAAAGAAATAGAAAAAAAAATAAGAGAAAAAGAAGAAAAGAAAAAAAAATGATATTTTAATTAAATTAATGAAATTAACGATTGCGCACTTAAAATAAATTTTACAACAATTTTAACTTTTAATTATCATTTAACATTTATCAATGCTTCATTTCTTTTTCTCTCTTTTCTTTTCCGTTCCAAACTATTTTTTCATCTTTCTATCTTATTCTTATCATTTATGCTTATCTTTTCTTCTTCTCATTTCTCATCATTTTCTATCTTTTCAACGGGATAAAGCGGGATGAAATTGAGTGCAAAAGGCATCTCTTTCACCATTTTGAAATTATCAATCTTTTTTTTTCCTAATTCTATTCCTCCATCTTTCTTTTCACTTTTCCACCTGTTCTTTTTTTTGTCTAATTCTTTTCCCGTTTCTCTTTTTATTCCCCAATAGTTCCTTCTTATATATTTTTTTCTTTTTTTTCTTTTTTCAATATTATTTTCTCGATGAATGAATGGTTGAATGAATGTAGAAAAGGTTAAAGGCTAAAAATGAATGCAAATGATAAATAAATAGTATGAATGGTATGAATTTTTTCGACCCCTTTTTTGACCAATGAGTTAATTTATGAGTAAATTATAATAAATGAATAAATAGTAATTAATGAAATAAATTTATTATAAGTAAATAAATAAATAAATACATATTATTTATTTATTTTTATAATAACTAATAGAGTGATTATCATCCATTGAACCTTAAATGAAGAATGTATTATTTGTTTATTTATTTATTTATTTATTTATTTATTCATGATAAGTAATAGCATAATTATCATCCACTCAACTAAAATGAAAAATATACTATTTATTGATTTATAATAAATAATAGCAAACTATCAAAATTACTATCAAAAAATCTACTATCATGCTATCATAATAGCTAACTATCATTGAATTAACCTGAGATGAAAATAAAAGGTAAACAATTATTTGCCAAAAAATATATATGCAAAATAATTTTCCTCTCCGAATTATTCTTTTTGTTTTAAAGTTATATGCCAAATTGTATTATGAAAAATGATGATAAAAAGTAAAATATAATTTTCTGTTTTATGTTTGTAATTAAAATGAATGTCATAAATGTGATTTGATAATATTTCAAAACGAGAAAATAAAACATAGCGTGAAAAATCGCTTCACTAAAAACAGTTATATGTATTATTAAGTATTGATCCTCAATGAGCGGCATATTTTGATAATTTCATTTTCTTCTTCTATTTTATTTTTTTAAATAAAACGATAACAACAAAGTTATTATTTCGTTTTTACTTTCTTCTTCATATCCTCTCATTATTTATGGTCAATTAAATTTAAATTAACCTATCATTTCTTTTTCTTTTTCCTTTCTCTTCTTCTTTCTTTCTATTTCTATTCTATTGATTAATCTATGCTCTCTTATTTCCTCAAATTTTCATTTTAACTCTTTTCTTTTTTAAAACTATCAGTTGAACTATTCCAATATAGTTAATAATTATTATTGAAATATTTCAATATAAATTTTGTTTGTATGATTAATAATGATATAACAAATCAATACTAGTTAGTTAATATTAATATTAGTTATATTTGTAATTGGTTTGATAATCCTTAATTATTAATAGTACTTTATTTGTATGATTAATAATGACATAACAAATCAATCAATAATAGTTAATATTGATTAATGATTATTAATAATCATTAATAGTAATAATGAAAGGTTAAATGAAAACGGATGCAATTATAAATAATAAAATGAAAAGTTTAAGATCTTTTCATTTTTTGCTTTCAATTGATAAGATAAATCGAGAAATTACTAGAAGCAAAAAATTTTTAGCAAATTTAAAAATTAATCCCGAAATTGTAATTTAAATTAAATTCTATGTGATATAAAATTTGATACATATAAAATAGACGGCAGTGATTTTGCGAAAAAGATATATCATGAATGACAACAGTATCGTGTTACAATATATCATGAATGACAACAGTATCGTGTTACAAAAATGATTATCACTGATATTTGTTATGTAAAAAATTTAACCCTTCAAATTATCATTTCATATGAAATTTTCAATTAATTATATATATATCTTTTTATCCTAAAATTTACGGCTTACTTTAAAATGCTTGCTACTTAATTTTTATTATAAATTTTCAAAATATTCCAATTCAATTTGATATTAAATATGCGTTCATTTTTATCTTCAAATTTCATCCGCTACTAATAATATTATGCAAAAATAATATCATTAATCTAATTAACTTTGATAATAGAAAAGAAAGTGGAAAGAAGAAAAGAAGAGTGAAAGAAATAAAGAAGGAAAAACGAGCTAATTGTGTCAACTTTTCAACTTATCATCATTAAATTAACTTCACATCAATTTTATTAGCTTTAAATTAACTTTATCAACTTCATCAGCACTACAATTTCTTTCTCTTACAGATAATAAAGGATGAAATTATGTACAAATAATTAAGATTCTATCTTCCGATTATTATTATTGTTAATTAGCACTATTATTATTACTAATAATAAGTATTATTACCGGCAAGTTTGGCTATCATCATTATGATCAATAGGCATAATAAATAAGATCTTGTCAAATCCATCGGGATCTGACATCAGAGAAAGATGAGAAATTGCGAATTTGATTTGATTGAAATAATTCAATCCAAATTATTCCTTAAAATTTTCATTAACATAAATTTTGCTATTTCATCTTCAATAGTTATCGTAGTATTTAACGATGTAAATATAATATTTATCTATTAAATTTTAATATTTTTGCGAAGGAAAATACAAATAATCCTTATATATTTGCGATATGCTTATGTGTATATGTGTGTGTGTGTGTGTGTGTGTGTATGTGTGTGTACATATGTGTGTGTGTCTTTGTGATAAAGTATTACTGAAAGAATTATTGATTAGAAAATTATTTCTAGTAAAATAATTACTAAGAGGATAGAGTGTTGGCGATAATTCAAGAAAGATATGATTGTATTCGGAATATTGTCCAAATATCAAAAGATAAAATAAACGGAAAAGTTCAAATTGAAATTATTCGTAATTATTTCACTTAATTTTCTAATCAATAATCATTTCAGTAATACTTTATCACAAAAATGAAAAATAGAGTAAAAAAATAAATAGAAAGTAGGAAAAATTGATGTAAGTGAAGAATGAAAAATCAATTTGGATGAAAGAAATCAGTCAATGTTATTTCTCAAACTTCTCTCTGTCAATTTAAATTAAAATACATTTTCTCACTCTATACAAATATAAAATTTAAATAAACGAATTTTTTATTCAAAATTATTCTAATATTTCTTGCTAATAGATATATGTATTTGTTGTTTATTATATAGGATAAGAAAATGAATTTTAATTTTTTAGTTTTTAATTAATAAAATTTAAAAGACAAAATAAG